TTAAAAACCTAGATGGATATAGAGTGGTTTGGCTAATTATCTTTCATACTGGTCCTGCTACTTTTTCTCGAGCGTGTGCGTGTGTGTATGTGTGTATGTTAGAGTCTATACGCAATGCCGGTCCTAAATCAGAGTTATCAAAAGGCTAATGTCAGGCTATGACCATCAAAGCCTAATGACTCAAGAGAAAGCCCTGACCGAGACTGCTTAAGTCCATATGCAAGTATTCTTGAGATAATGAGATATGAACTTGTAAGCATGTAAGTCAAGTTACGAAATCACTTGTCTTAACCTCTCAATCTAGGGTCATTAACGTTTAACCCTCCAAGGAAAGGCATGATTGGAGCTGCGTAATCTGGCAACTCTAGTTTGTTTGAGGAGTTTATTCTAACAGATTGGACGAGTTTGAGTCAGTTAGAACCATCACCCAGCAAACAAATTGAGTCGCCTTCTTTTAGACGACGGCTCAACACCATCTCTCTCCTTCAATCTATCAATCAGGCATAGGTAGTTCCTACTCAACTTTCTACCACCATACGTCACATTAACGTATTTCCTAAGCTATAAATTTTAATAGCCTCTTTTATCTTTCTTTTAACTACAGACATACGATAATCAACAATTAAACAGACAAAAGTCCATGGCAACCCTCCTTTGGTATCTGGTGAGACCAATCTACGTGTCTCTTCCAGCCGCCTTCCAAAACTTAATGAAAGAAATGCCAGTATCAATCTAATAAGTGATTATGGGAATGTACTACGTCCACGGTCCGACTTTGAAAATGATCATGCATACAATATACTCCGGACTAGGTGCATTCCTCTAAGTCTTCCTATTAATATGACCAAGTTGCGAAAACAAGGTCAAGCAACCTTTACTAAGGGGTCCGTTGAAACCTAGCTTATCTTCACATGTATAATTTGTGTTTTTAAAAAGGCTTTCGAGAATACCAATAGGTTTTGGATAAGAGCTATATTTACCCTCTTTCGTTTCAGTTGATGAAGGAATGGTAATTAAATTTTTCAACAATTATATGAGTAGGCTTCAGGTTTGCATTCAATTTCTCATTGCTTTGCTTCCAAAAAGATCGAGATCGAAACTGTAGTACATTCTGAATGAAAATTCCTTTGGGGAAGCAAGGCAATGCTAAATTCAATGAAAAAGGGAAGCAACGTACTTATGCTACTAACTAAGTTAATAAGAGAG